TATTTTATTTTTGAGAAAATCATTGTATTATGAAAAAAGATTCTTATGAGTCTAAACAAAAGTTTTTTTTAAGGCGATTAATTGTATAACATTTTAAACTAAATTACTTAATTCAATCAATGTATTCTCTACAATACATGTGCGACGAATTGTTTTGCGACGAATTGTCGTGCGACGAATTGATCATGCGACGAATTGTTCGCGACGAATTGTACGCGACGAATTGTCGTGCGACGAATTGTACTAGTGCCCCAATTTATAACATTAACTTGGGTTTTGAAGAAAATTATTATGAAAAATGATTGATTAATAGAAGTATTTAAGGTAAAATAAGTCATATAATTATTTGAAGTAATAGAGTTAAAAATTTTTAAAAAAATTATTTGATTATATTTGTATTGAATGCTATCATTTTACCGAAAAGAAATACTATTGACTGCATGTTTCACATTTTTTTTTCTAACTCATTAAAATAACTAAATTAAATTTCTCTTACATTTATTTGATTTCTTATTTTATAGTCAATATTCAATCGTCTATAAATCTCTGTCCAAGTTCTTCAAGTGATAGCATATGTGTATTAGGTAAGTTGACCCCTAGTTTTTTTTTAAATATTTCCCAACATACCATATCTTTCTTAGATAACAACAATAATTCACCAAGTAACATTGAAGAATTATTTCAAAGCAGTTTTCCTTCGATTTCGGATTGTAAGTTTGACTTTGAAAAAACTAGTGATCAATGCTGTAAGAAACCTCTAGCATCTGATACAACGCCGATCGAACAACAACAACAAGTGCGAGAGTCTTCTTCTACATTTATTTTACCAGATGATGCAAGAATTTCTCATAATCAACATGAAATTAGATTTGAAACTGAACCTATGGAAAAATTTCGGGCGCGTTATTTAAGTCAGTATGTACCGAAGAAAAAATATAAACGGGATGGTAAAACAGAATCCAAACAAAGTAGTCCAACGTATTTTTCCGATCGACACAAGACACACTATCTCACATTATTGGTTTGTTATTTATATAAAATAATCATTTATGAGAATATCTATTTTAGATGTCCAAAATACTTGTATTTGGTTCAGATCCTATTGATCTGTGTCGTATCAAAGTAGAAGTTTGCATTGTAACACTAACTATCGATGGATGTATTTATATTCATCCATATTTTACATTTTACAAACCCGAAGGAAACAAAAACTACTCTTTATCTAATCCAATATATATACATCTTGGAAATGATGAAGATTATAAAAATCCACCAATAATCAATGAAATATTGAACGCGAAGTATGTTTTAAAAAAATATTTTACATTTCTTTTTCTATAATGCTGGATTTCAGGCTTTATCTGGCTGTGATAAATCTTCTCGACAATGAACTATTAAAAAAACCAATACAACCTTTCGAATCATTAAAATCGAGTATGCAAAAAAAATATTAAGTCCATTTCTTATAGAAATATGTTATTTTATTAGACGGAATAGCTGATACAGCAACATATACTAATTATGACGAATATAAAAATAAATTTTGTTTAAATAAACTTCGTTTTGCTGTAACGTTATGGATAAAAAGTCTCCATGGAGGTGAATACATTCGACGTCCTAATCTTCAGTATATAAGCGAAGTTTCAACAAAGATACCAAAGGTAGGCTTTCATTGATAATCTTATATGATAAGTATTTACACATAATCATTTTCTTTTTTTCCTCATTTTAGTACAAAGTCAAACAGCATAATAACAATTAGTTTATTCTTCAACAATCAACAACAATATAAAATTTTTCTTTTAAACATATGTGAACAAATTTAACATGAAATAAATATTAGACTATCCATTGACAAAGTTTAATACTTATTGAAATTTCTTTTTAATGCTTAACATAAAAAGAAATTGTGTTTTTTTTTCTCATCCTTCAGACAAGATGAAGTTCTTCAACAAATATGAATTAAAGTAATTTATAAAAATCTATTTGCTCCAGTAGTTGGATTACACACCTCTTGGTCATGACGAACGTTACCGAAAACAAACTTCACTGAAAGTTCTTACTTAGTTCTACTAACTGATAGAATGTATATGGTATTTCTAAGTTATATCAATCGATCAACTTGTTACTTTGTCACAAAATTCTATTAAATTCAAAACGATTTAATTTGACTTGAGATGTTCACGATGAAGCCAGATCCATTGGTATTTCTGATTTCAGTTGTTTACTCGGAGTATTTGCATAGAAATAAAAGAATAACAAAGTCTTACACGAAAAGCAAATAAAAAAAAGCAGAATGTAAAATTTTTCATACAATAAAGACTTGAAATTTGATTTAACCTATAAGAAATAGACAAGGATATATATATATACCTCAATATGAAACTTACTATTGAAGTGTAAACAAATTTTTTAACATTGAATAGACGTTCAATTCAAGCATTTGTTACTGGATTCGAATGAATTTACTAAAGTGTTCTCGAATCGTAAGACAATGTGTTAACATTTGATTTGCGAAACGAAGGAATTAGATTGGTAGTTCTAGTCGAAATTATTTCAATTGAAGTAAATGCCAAATAATTATAAGCTACTTGATTAGATTAAAAACATTTGCCATTTTAATAACACTTATATTAGAAAAACTGATTTAGAAAAATCTAATATGAATTTTCGTCAATATTTTATATGGTAATGAATTTATTTTGAAGATATGATGAAAATCTGTAAACAATGACAGCGATTTCTAGAATATTATGCTCTGATATTTAAACATGATCAAATAAAGACTTCATTTACCTGAATTGTTAAAAATTATGGTTCATTATCATCTATCAATCAGTCCGGTCTCAAAAAATAACATAACAAATGAAATAGTAAAAACAACTTGATTGTTTATATTGAAACATTCATCTCTATTTCTTGTAATATACAACATGTTTTGACTTTACCAAAAGAACATCATAGTATAAGAGATCCATTCAACATGAAGATTACTTTTACGTAGCTACTTTATAAATGAAAAATAGATTTTCATAAATAAGATAGACAATTAAAACATTCAAATTTATCTAAAGTTAAATAGACTTTCAGAAGTTGTTTATGATTATCTGTCAGTATTTTAATGCATAAAAGAAGACTTCAAAAATTAGCTATATTCATTTATTGTTATGAGATTATTAAACATGAAAACATAATCATAAACGTCTTTTGTTATAACTCTTTTTACATAAATAATTTGCTTTATACTGTCTATCTTGGTAAGTTTAGCAAAAGAAAAGGGACATGTTCTCTCTTCATAATGTAATATACATAATTATTTCTAGTTACAATAGCAATAAAATATAAATATATAATCATATAGAGATTTTTATATGATCTGTTTGATAACAACCAAAAGAAAATTCACAAAAACAAAATGAGTTCGATAATACTTGTGTAGTTCATTTACAATTTATTTTTTTTTTGTTGGTAGTTTCTAATCTATAAGCTAATATAGAAATAATAAATCTTGTAACTTTTAGATTCGAATTGCAATAAAAAAGATATAAAACTTTATCATTCGAATAATTTTTTTGAACTTATTTCGATATTCTTGTCTAAAGATTCGCAATATATTTTTTAATAGAAAATAAAATTAGACGAGAATATTCATGTCCATATCAGAAAGAATTATTGATGTCATCAATAAAAAGAGATGTTGCCAAAAATCTAAAAATTTACGCAAGAAAATTAGTGAGTCAACAGTAGAAGATATTAAAACAATGCCTCGATAAATAAAATTATATTCTCTATGATGCTATTCATTTATTTGTTCTAACGAACTGTTTAACACGAATGCATCATTATATCGATATATATCTGTTTCGTATTCTCTTTCTCTCTTTCTTGTTGCTTTCGTTTTCATTTTTATTATTAGATTTTAAATGTTAACAGCCTTTTATCATTATATATCTTCTACTAATAGTAGTGCAAGTCGTCAATATACACGGAAGTGTATGAATATTTCTGTTTGTATTTATTATCCATTGTAAATACCTATATTTCTAGCTCGTTATGACACATGCAATAAAGATATTGGTTCATCATCATTATTATCATCGTCCATTATCACCAGTATCAATTGCAGTTGTTTGTAATCATGTTAATAAAGTTTCATTCGGAAATTATAATGATATAAATGGTTCTTGAATACGTAATTATTTCGCAGAACCTCGTCATTCGGATAAACCTCATAATACTCATCCGCCATCAGTCAATGCTATCCGATCGATTGTATCTGATCGTTCACAACAAGATCAGATTCCGGTGGTAGTAAAGGACAATCCATTATACGTATTATGTTCTTGTGAAAAGAAAAACAAACAAAAATTTGTTTCTTGTAGAATCAATATACTGTTCATGTTAATGTATTTAAATGTGATAAATGGTATAATGCAAATAAACGTCAACATAATCTTTTTGAAACAATTCAAAAAACATTCTCGAACAAGAAGCTAATAATTCACCAATATGTATGGTAAATAACAATTATTACTATTATTTTTCATAGATACTTTTCACATTTTCTCTAATAATGTATATTTAGATAGTTTTTGTTTGTTTAGTTTTGATGATGGAAATTTTCTTTATTCCCGTGAATTATTACTTAATAAAGTTAAAACTTATGAAATAATAATAAAAAATGAACTATATCAATTAGATATAAAAGACATGTCAGATCATGTTACAGTTGCAGATATGTGGCAATTTGTTCGAAGTAAAACACCATATAAACGTTCTCAAGATTTAATACGTATGTTTGAAACATTACTTAAACAAACCATACGTTCATATATAGTTTGTATTCGAAATCAATTTTTTGAAAAAAATCAAACATTATATGATGATGGTTTGTATCTGTTTCTTTTTGTTTTTGAAAAATAAAATTCTTGGTCTATTATTTGAAGGATCATTTCAAAATAGTGGTTTTGCATTTCTTCAAGGTTTTTTAGCAAGCGATGTTTGTTACACAAGCTGGACCAACATTAACAATTGATACAAAATGTTCATGTTTTTATCGTAATATTGATATGCTTCATTTAATATCAATTTATCTTAGACGAGATATAACAATGAATGGAGTAATGATGTCTCATGATGAAAAACATGCTTTGTGAAGAATGAAATGTTTGGAAAGAATAATTATTGAAACCCAACATACAACTAATAAAAGTAAACACAAAAACGAAATGTTTTTTTTTTCTTCTCTCTAACGTGATTTTCTTTATTCAGTGATTTATAATATTCAAGGTTTTGGTGACAATGGTAATTGTCATCCAGTAATATTATACGGAACTGATGGTGATTCATGTCAAATATCTGTAATAGAATTTCTTGCTGATAAATATAAAATTAAATAAAAATAATCATGTTTACCAACAATTGAATGTGTTAATAAAAAAGTACAAAATTCATCTTATATATCAATTGAATTATGTTTTGTTAAAGAATGGCAAATAGTTGATCGATCTTTAATGACATCAGAACAGAATAAAATGCTAAAAAATCCAAACGTTCAATTTTATTACCTGAAATACGTTTTAATAAAAACAATGACAATAACTCTTGAAAGAAATTCTAATAATGATCCATATTTAAAACATTTATCAATAACTATTCACACAAATGAAATGTTACAAATAAAAAATCGTCTACTTGATTCACCTAATATTGTTTATCGAAATAATCGTATTGTTTCAGTTACTATTGCTAAATGACTTATGAAAGTTAATCAATTAGAACAAGCTACATGTGTTCATAAAGTAAAAAAAACAAACAAAAAACAAAATATTATTATTAACATATTGATTAGATAATCAAATTTTGAAATTTTAGTGGGAAATAATTTTAGTTAAAGATATTATGGAATATAAATAAATTCTCATTTTGAAACAAAAATAATATCTCATCATCAAATTCGTTAATGTATTCATGATTTACATGTAAGTGAAGCCGACTTTGATCTATTTATAATAATTGGTGATTGTCCTGAATCATATCAAACTATAAAACGTTGTACATCACAAGAATTTGGTATAATTACACTTTGTAAGGTTATATTTGTCATCCATTATTATTTTAAAAAAAAATCTCTTGTTCAATATTTTATAGGTTGTGATTTAGGTTCAATTAGAAAACTAAATAATCCTGGCAAACTTGTAAATTTTCTTTTTCTTTTGAAATTTAGAATGCTTATATTGAAAATGTTGCTCAAAAAATCGAAACACGTTTAGATACTATAAATTCAACTGTATCGTTTAAAAAAAAATTTGTTGATCAACCAAAATCTAATGGTGATGTTTTTATGTTTATTGGTGCTGATGTTTCACATGTTGTTGTTTCTGAACGTAAACTATCAATAACAGCTGTTGTTGCAAGTATATCACCAACATCAACACCATGTGTATGTTGTTCAAGTGAACAACGATCAATTAAAGATAAAAAATATTCATTAGAAATTTTTAAAGATTTTCAATCTATGATACGTGATCTTTTACATATATATATTCATACAAACAAATAAATAATATCTAACAAAAATTGTTGTGTATCGCGATGATGTTAGTGAGAAATTATATTTAATATTTTTTCTTTTTTTTTATGAAATTCGATTTCAAATACATTTTGAAGTATAGAGATAAACAGTGATGAATCGAAGCAGTTGTCATTAGAAGGATTGGAGTTTTTCGAAAATGAAGGAGATCTTCGTTCTTTCTGAAAACGATAAAGATTTTCCTTGATAAGGAATGATAACACCTCTGACGTCCTATCATAGACAATAGACAATAATTAGTTCCTTATCCATGTGAGTTACATCGTGTTTTAGATGTTAATTTTCCAGATATTATGCTTATAGTTTTCTTTAAAATAATTTTCATTTTTAAACGAAAAACATTTTCAAAAAATACTTGATAATGACGTTCAAGCACTTAAAAATGCTTGTTTAGAACGTATAACAAATATAGCTACTGGTACAGTTATTGATACAGCTATTGTACATCTACATCAATTTGATTTTTATCTTAATTCTCATGCAGATGCATTTGATACTAATGTTTGTTCTTATTATCATGTTTTACATAATGAAATTGAATTTACTAGTGATAAATTATAACAATTAACATTTTGGGTAAAAGAACAAAAATAAAAAAAAATTTTATTTGAAAAAAAAAGAATATCTTTTTTTTTTAAAAATCTTTTATTAGCTTTGCCATACTGATGTACGTTGTACAAAAACTATTAAATATTCAGCAGCAGCTCATTATACTCATACAGTTGCTTATCATGCAAGATATTTTGAAAAAGAATCATATCAAACAATATCACAAAATCATTCAAATCAATATACTACACAGTAAAATACAATTATTTATTTTATTTTTCAAAAGATTTGGATCGTTTATTATTTTATCTTTTTCTTTTTTTAGAATTGAAGATGATCTTACGTTAGAAGATATCAAAAGTAATCTTATTATGATGAATAAAAATGTCAAAAATATGATGTGGTTTACATAGATAAAAATCTTTAGTATTCATTCTTTTTTTCTGTTTGAGCAAAGATTTATCTAATTTAACATAGCGTTTATTTTTATGTATTTGTAAGACATTTCTACACTTTTATTTGTTTTATTGCATACATGTGCTCGTTTTGTTTTGATCCTAGTAAGTTCATATTCTTATAATGTGATACATTTTAAGCATTGAAATGAACTTATAATAAATTAGAAGGAGATCGAAAAGCAACTAGAAAACTAAATAATCATAAAAGTATACTGATAAGTTTTTCTATTAAAATTTAGAGAATCATCTTGTATGTTTTTGAAAGATATTTTATCATTTCACTAACAATAATTTTTATTTTTATCAATGCTTTTCAAAGCCACTAAAATCAACAAAGAAAAAAATTCAATGAACTTCATCTACGTCCAGTATTATTGAAGACTTTTGAATGTTTATATATTGAAAAATTTTATTTCTATGAGTCTGTACTAACTGCAAGGTTTATAATTATCCTTATTTGAAAGAAAATACATCAAGACAGTATAAAATTTATGATATGTAGAAGATAAAATTAACAATTTGATTTAAATGATTTCTAAGAATAGTAAGTCATTCATACCAATAATATCGAAGACTATTTCTAGGAATCATTTATAAACGACATTCAAACATCTATTATGAATATTTTTCTTTTTATTTAAAAAAAAAACAAACGAATTGAAATTTGTAAGCTTAGTTTGTTTTGAAGAGCATTTTAAAATATACCTTAAATGGGATAATAATAGCCGTAGAGACGGCTCAGCTTCCTCCAGAAGGTTTTTGGTTCCTATTGATTATGTCATTGGACTATCGAGTCTTTGTGGAGACTTACACATTTTTTTTATGGATCTTCTCCGAGTTTGACGATCGACACTGGAAGGATATAACCAAGGATTTTACTATAGATGATATAATCGATCTAGTAGTAGAATCAGAAAAGTATGAACTTATGAAATTCTAAGTTCTTCAGTTTATATTTAAATTCATCGAAAGAAAATGACTGTGTGTTTAGAAATTTACTGAACCATTAAATCATTTATTGAAAAACTCGCTCTTTCGGGTGTGGGTGTGGGTGTGGGTGTGGGTGTGGGTGTGGGTGTGGGTGTGGGTGTGGGTGTGGGTGTGGGTGTGGGTGTGGGTGTGGGTGT